AAAAGGAAACGACCAATACAACGAACACGATGTACGAACCACCAAGCAGAAAAGAATATTTGCCACATGATCGGTATGTTGATGAGCCAACACCGCCGCCATCCGTATTACCACCAACAGCAAGTGAACCAACAAGAAACAAATATTACAAATATTCAGCATCATCAACAACGACTACGACCAATGCACACAATCGACCCGAACGTGAAGTATTGTTGGCTCCATTTCCAACCGATGGCATCCAACATCAAAAACCAAACCAAGTTGATGGCCCTCCCAAGCATCTAGGTCAATTGTTAGCTTCATTTGATGAGGTAAATAATGCTCAAACACACAATACTTACTACTTTATTCAAACTGCATAAAATTGAAATTTATCACATCAATGCGAACAGAAGAAATCTTATGCTACACACAACAACACACTTTCACTGCATTTGAGATAAAATTTTATTTTGTTGGCCGTCGTAATATCATCATCATCGTACCTTACTCATACTTATGCCATAAAATCCTCTAAAATCTATATACATTGTGAAAATAGTTCGCCAACATTCTAAAGCCGATAAAATAACAATGAATTCAGATGTGAAAACTTTGTTTTATAATCTATTGGCCATCTCTGCATTATCTCTCCCCCCCTCCTCCCTCTCTCTCGTCTGCTTTTAATTGTATAGTGTATACAGTTAGGCAGAAAGTTTTATCCAATTTTTAAATTATATTAAAGTATTGGCATTAAATTGGTGTCTGAAACTAGAAATTCTATTGAAACCCCCCAGTCACTGCTTAATTCGAATAATGTGTTTTTTAATCGAAATGTTAAAAATATAGAATACTGGACGAGGTGATGAGGAACCGTATGTGGCACGAAAAGAGGTCAACAGTGCATTGGCCACTAATAAAGGAATACCAGTTGTTGAGCCAAAAGCTCCCACAAAAAATATTGCTGGCCCACCCGTATACTATCCGCCTGGTCAGGAACTATTTGCCAAGAGTGAAGCTGAAGCCGCCTGGAGAGCAAAGGTAAATAGCACATATTATTATTTCTCATTTTATGATATTATAATTTTTTTCTTAATATATGCACTAAACCATTTTCATTGTAGGGTGGTTGGGCCAAGGGTAGCGGCAAATATGAATATGAAGCCGAAAGTAAATCGAAGAGTGCAAGCAAATCTGGGGCTGCTGTTGTACCAGTATGTTTGCCATTGTGTTGTGCTATGCCATGTACGATTATGTAAAAGACCAACCAAAATATTAAGTGCACTCGAGTCGAGACAACTTTACTGCACAAAATAGCACAGCCAATAATCGAAGAACAACGATTTATTGAACGTGCATGACATATATAAATTTTACCCATTTTATTTTCTGTACTACTAACAACTGCATTTCAAACGCAAATATGTTTTCTAACAGTCTAAAAATGTACCGTCTAAGTTTGAACTGGTTTTGTTTTCTTCTTCGATATATACGAAAGGACAAGGACATTTTTGGAACATGAAACATTTGCATTTGTCTTCATTGGAATGCAAAAACTATCGCTAAAAGTCACTAATCACTTATAATGAACTAATCCATTTTCCTGTGTAATAATTACATTTTAAATGACGTCGTACGGCGAGATGAAACACTCATTGAACGCTTTTTCCATTGTAACACCGCACTCACTCAACAAGTCGGTGAACACACTCTTGATTCTCTTTTTGTGCCAGAACATTGTCAATTTTATTATCGTTAATTTAAACATTTCCATTTTTGTATTACGAGCGCTAATTTTATTTTCAATTTTCAACGGATAACAAGTATACTTTGTTGGCTTTAGATCCCAATTTATATATAGTCTAATCATCCTTAATGAAATGTATTATTTCAAATTAATAAAATAAAATTATATGAATTGTTGGATAAGATAAAATGAGTTATTAATGCTTCCACTCAATTATAATTGGGACATTCATTTAATGATGAAACTTGATTTACAAGGATGTCCTTATCAATTGAAGACATGCAAAACTACCATGAGTTTTACTGGAAATATTTCATCCATAGGTGAAAATTATTGATGTCCATCAACCATTAGATTAATGTGTTTACTAAAAATATGTAATACGTACTCGTATTTCGACTTTTATAAAAATCACGTAAAAAAATTTGAACGAAAAATAACGGTTATGATATTGAATTTAAGTTTGGTAACGGGTTTCTTTGACGAATGACCTTGAAAATGCGAACTAAAGCTTCAATCACATTTTCCTCTTTATTTTGCTTTAAAAGCTTTGGCGAAATCGCATATGTCAGTTTTTATTTTACTCCATACACGCAAACTTAAAACTGCGAAATCCATTGCGTTATCCAATATAAGCTCTATCCGAAATTTATCAGAAGCTTTTAATTTCAAATCAGAGAAAGCTGCGCGAAAGTTTCGTTTTTGCTCCACATGGAAGAACTTTAAAGCGTTCAACTAAATTCTCCACATGTTCTTTAAAAGAAAGTTTAGGTCTGCATGAAGAAAGGCCAACGATTTGTGCCTCGCGACAGCGAATGAATCTTGTCTGTGTGTCTTGGCGAATATACACATCTACACACTTTCTTTCTTTTTTATTCTTTGCTAAATTGCTTAATCTACTCTATATGCACCGTTCCATAACGCAAAATTCAGAATGTGCACTGTTGACAGTTTTGAATTGTTTTATTTTTTACTGTTTATATGATGTTTCCATGCATTTTGTATGGGCGGTCCAATGGACCGCCACTATACGTTCTAGGTGAAATTTGGTTTTATCAAATGTCCACAACATATACAATTATTTTATGATAGAAACAGTATGTACATGAATAAAAATCTTCTGTACGAATAATCTGCCCGAGGAATTTTGAATTTTTTTAATTTACTTCGATTTCTATTCAATTTTTTCAAAAATTTCGGTCCAATACCTAGGAGGGTTAAATTAACATTTAAAAATATGTTTATATTTGTTTTGTAGATTTTTTTAGCAATCAACTTGTTATCATTGTGACAAAAAAGTGATGTTATGTTAACCATTTTATTTTTCTAATTTAATATTTTTCAATATTGAGAACAGTAAATCTCACAAAATTACAAAGAAAAATAATTCCCATTAAAAAACGTTTTAAAATTTATTTATTGTTACTTTTTAAAATTATTTTTCTGTACTTTTTAGACTTTTTAAATGGATTTTTGTTATTGTGAATATGCGAGCCCATTTGTTAGATGCAAATGTGTTCGGACAGATTAGTTTGATTTAATGCAATCAGGGAGCGCGTCAGTGTTTTCGGTCACAGATGGACCACGGTTACGGTTATAATATCCAAACATTCATAGATTACTCTTATCAAATGGTGAATCGAGATGTAATTTTGCTGAATACAATTTTCCAAGCACATCAATTTCGTATGTGGCCCCTTTCAAATAATTGGCATCGATTGGTTTTCCATCGGTGCGTCGAATGTACGCTTTGCCAATGGGTTTATTGATGTAATATCCGAATTCAGCTCTTCTCAAATGACCGGCCGCTTCTCCATTGCGATAAACTCCTTCCAGTCCCCACAATGGAATTTCCTCATTCAGTGTCAGGTACACTAAACGTTTATACACACCTTCTTGTTGTTGTCTTTCAACCACCCCTTTTCCTTTGTATTCACTGTCCGTTTTACAAACAGATTCTAAATTTGCTTCAATTGGAGTGTCATCAGATCGTAAATCATATCCCCATCGATGAGC